ATAGTTTCTTCTCATAGAGGGGCTGCACACTATTCACTGTCTTTCAAAGAATGGAAAACCAAATTTTGATGAATTCAGGTTTCTGGGCTTGTCCCGAAGGCCTGATATGGTGGTGTAACCTGTGTTTTATTTCCTGGACTTGGTTCAGGGTTGATAGTCTGGAAGTTCCTCAGTTAAGCCTCAGGGTAAAAATCTTAGTTCAAAATCTGATTCGACAATGGGTTTTGCCTATAATTTCTTTCATTTTTTTTTTTTTAAGAAAGAGTGAGAGAGAGAAAGAGTGAGAGAGGGAGATAGAGAGAGAATTTTAATATTTATTTTTTTTTTTAGTATTTGGCAGACACAACATCTTTGTCTGTATGTGGTGCTGAGGATCGAACCCGGGCCGCACGCATGACAACCGAGCGCGCTACCGCTTGAGCCACATCCCCAGCCCCTGCCTATAATTTCTTAATAGCTTTGGAAGCAAAATGAACCAAGCTCCTTGAAGTCACTGAAGACACTCCTTTAAGTCATCAAATTATTTTTCTCAGCACCTGCAGGAGGTTATGAAACCTGGATTTGCTAGGAGTGATAGGAGTTTTGGCTTGGTCTCTTTTCTTCCTATCTCACTCTTCCTCTATGGAAGATAAAGATCCCCCTGTTTCATTAAAGGTTAATGCATAAGGTGAAATGATCGGTTACTCTCCTGTTGTCCAGGGTGCAAATTCTGGGGGTGAGGGGATGGTTAGCCCAGGGTTGAAGTTCTGCATTGTGGGTCTGGTATCATAATGACTTGCCGGGTTTCTGTTCTTGAAACTAAAAGGCTCAGGGGTCACTCCAGATAAACTGGGCTAAGTGGGCAGCATGAAATAACCACGCAAGAGACACAAATAACTTTTTCTTTGGGGTTGCTGTGACGGCTCCTCTGACCTTAAGAGTCCGCAGAAAGAGAGAGAGCAAGAGCATGCGCTGACCCCTTTTATTGAGGAGAAGCTATTCAAATGAGGCAAGGGGTCAGGTTTCAGGGGGCTGAATATCTTCATGATGTCCACTGTCAGCAGGTTGACTGACAACTGGGTAGGCCACACCCAAGGGCACAGTAAGAGAAGGGGACACACACAAGGCACTTCCTTGGAAGATTCTATCCTAAACAGGGCAAGGGGTTATATTACAAAGGAACAGGCGAGCGTAGCCTCACCCATGGGGCTGTAGCAATATACACCCATGCACGAGACAACAACCTTGGAACCCAAGAAGGGTGGGAAAAGTTCTGCCACATTTCTGCAACTGAGCGCCTCAGCATCCAGCCAGGGAGTGTACTCAGTCATGTGTAAGGTTGGTCTCCCACAATGACCTTAAGCTCTAGGAAGACAGTTTTAGGCAATCTATTCCACTGTCAGACTCTAGGCCTAATTTTAGATTTGGGAAACAATCCCCAAGATCACTTGTAATTTATAAAACCACTCCCCATTGTGGGAGGAGAATGGTTCTCCTGGAATGTCTCTATTTCTAATTTGCTTTAAGTCTGAAACTAAGTGACAAGGTCCCGAGAGGGTGGGAGAGTTGGAACCAGGTTCTCGGTCTTTGTTACAATGGGAATAGGATGCACAGGGTGCTCCTTCCAAGTCACAGGTGGGAGCCAACCAAGAAGCCACTCTGCTGCCCCTCCCCCATCCCACTGTGCTGCTTTGGGCTGATTTGCCATATGCTTACTGGGCCTGTGCCTGGAACTGGATCCCTTCATTTTTTTTTTCAGCCCAGACACCCACTATCTCTCCTTGAAGACCTTGCACTAAAGTCACTTCTACTTTTCTGATCCATTCCAAAGCACCTGATAGACTCATTTTTCTTCTTTGTGTTCCAAAGTGTTCCCATCCACCTGTGCTATAGCATTTACTGCACAGCAGTAAAAAGTCAGTTATGAACATTTTCTCTCCCCAAATGGACTATGAGTTCTGAGGCTCAGTATCATGTTTTGCACTTCTCTCTACCTGCCCCACAGCCTATCAATGGGCATGTCAACCAGGAGTTCACCATCAGTTGATTGACTGGAGTTCTGCCTTTTGGGCCCAAAGTAAATTTGTTATAAAGACAGAAACCATCCATATGGAACTTGATAATTAGATTATTTGGCTCTCAATGACATAATGAATATGTCTTTATGTTCTCCTTTTGCATTTATAAAATTACTTTAAAAGCTGCGAGGTTGATTTGATTATGTTACTTCAGGGTTCCCCCAAAGAGGCAGCAGCCTGTTTCCTCTACTGTCTGGGAAGTGGTGCATTCCCAGGAGCCAGCGAGGGGACACACCTGGGATTAAGGTGAATAAACCACAAGAAGACAGCTATAGTCTGCTCTTCTTCATATCCCAATCTTAAGAATTGATGAGATTTAGTTTTTCCTACCGAAAGTTGTCCCTTCACAGTTGGGTGTTACAGGCAAGCGTGCCTTATTGTGTAACTGTTAATGTTCTCATGAGCATGTCTGCTCCAGGAAACTCCCTTAACTTGTGATAGGGGAGAGAACTCCCAGCACGTCCATTTATCATATGCCTAGAGTAACTGGGAAGTGATCCTTTTTCAAACATGAGTTACAGAGCTTCCTAATGTGCCGTTTATCAATGTCTACTGTGGAAGGGGAGAACACAGGGTAAGTTTATTACTTAAAGAATGTGCTCTCTGTTGTCCTTAGAGCCCAATATCCCACACCTTGTTCTAGAACATAATGATGCTGAATCTTGATGAATATTGATGAAAACATTGATTAAGTTCCTAGAGTTACTTGTTACCAAACATGGAATAGGCGTTTAGATTGGCTTTACTTTTAGGCTTCTGTGTCTACCTAAACACATCTTGGTTAAATGTTTAATATCTAACGTAGGCAAGGGATATTTCCTCAGATGAAAGCTCAACCACTTTGAAGTTGGAAACAATCTAGAACTCTGAACTAGGCAAATTGGGTTTTAGAATTTCTCTGCCACTTCTCAAGAAGGAAAAAAAGGACCAAAGCTTCACTAAAAAACAAAATGGAGGGCTGAGATTTTGGCTCAGTGGTAGAAAACTTGCCTGGCACATGTGAGGCACTGGGTTCAATCTTCAGTACCAAATAAAATAAACAAAATTAACACATCGTGTCTATATATAACTAAATATATATATATAATTTTTTTTTCTTTTTTAAGGAAAGAGTCCTATATTTCTTTCCCCTCCTATCAAAATGTTACTTACATGGGGCTACAAACCTTGGCTGAGTGGGAAAGAATGTCACTACTTGCATTCACATGAAATAGTTAACACAGGAAATACTTCCCGCTTTAAGGAGTCAATATAAACAAAAAACTCATTGCCTCCAGATTTCCTTTTCAAAAAGCTGTTAGCAGTGTGTGCCTGTGGTATGAGTATGTGGGAGGCTAAGGTGGAAGGATCACTTGAACCCAGAAGTTCAAGACCAGCCTGGGCAAATTAGCGAGACCCCCAACTCAGAAACAAACCAAACCCAAACGAAAACCCAACAGCTGTGTGTGGACAGATGAGAATTTCAAGCTAAACTCCCTCATGCCACTCAAGCTTATGGGTTCACCTCAACAAACATTCATTTACCACCTACTTCTTTATCTCCCTCACATCCTACTTATACCCCTGGGTCCCAGGCCCTCATTAATGTTGAACAAGGGTGAATGTTGAGGTTTGTGGAGAAGAGACTCGGGTTAGTAGGTACTTAGTGGAGTGGCAGACACATAGAAGATGTCTGAAACATATGATCAAATATGAATGACCATATGGACAGTACCTCCAGGAGGTCAAGGTCTAAACATAGGCCAGGGGAGTGCCCTTGGAGACACATGAGAGAAAGTTTGGGGGAGGCCCCAGGGTTAAAGGGGGATTCCTAGTTCTTCATTGTAACTGTTTTCCTTCTTCAGTTCACCATACAACGTAACTGGGTCAGCCCCCTGTTAGGACTATGACTCTTCTAGCAGGGAAGGGAGACACTTGATAGTCCTTTGGAGACAGAGGGACTCCCTCATTGAGGTTTTCTGACAGATGTCATTCCCCTGCTCTGTATTCCAGTTTATTTTCATCAGATGTTTCTTGAGAGCCACAGCCGAAGCAGCCTCAGCAAACTTCCAGCTGATTGGCTCCTCTGCGGTGACGCTTATTGGGTTGTTTGCCCGCCCTTTCAGATCATGGACCTGCTCATTGGGGGACTCTTTTAGCTCCGCCCATGCAGGCAAGCCAATCGGCCTCAAGGGCGGGAAGGCAGCCGATTGAGAGGCTCCCGGAAGAGCCCCGCAGTTGGGCTCTGAGGGAGTTCCTGTAGAGCTTGCGTGGTATGGCATAGTTCCTTCCTGCTTGACAAGTGGCTTGTGAATTGTGCCCAGCCAGACTGTGGCAGATGTTTTGAATAAAATCATACCCTTTCTCTTTCATGATGGTGAACGTTTAAAATCACAGTCACGGAAAATCACCTTTACACAAACATCTTTTAAAAGCAAACTCCAGGCCCCAGCCAGTGGTCAAATTCCAGTTTTAAAAAGGTTATTAAGTAAAATAGTCGATCTGATTAAAAACACTTTCATCGAAGCACAACATTGCTGCCAACAATATTAAGAGTTGAATCATTGATTTTTTTTTTTTTTTTAAACAGCAGATAGTCCATTAGCAAGGAAGAAAAGAAAAAAAAAAAAGAAAAGAAGAGTGATTCCTCCTTCACTTTTGGTGTAACAGGGTGAAAATAGTGACCTACTGTTGGGGACCCAAGCAAGAGGATGGCTAAGTGTGGGAGGGCGAGAAGGCAGAGGAAGGGGCCTGGTCTGGGGGCTGTTGGGGAGAAGGGACGGTAGCCAGAGGCAGCAGAGGTGAGACGCCTATGGGAGCAAAGGGGCCCCTTGTGCCCGCAGCCCGTCGGGCGCACGGTGGCCACAGCCGCAGAGGCGCTCACCGGGGTGCTGCCGCTCCCGGCCACCAGAGGGCGCGGCCGGAGCCGGCGCGGCGGAGCCGGAGAAGGGAGGAGGGGAGCCGGTGGAGAAGGGTCAGCGGCGGCGGCAGGGCGGCGGCAGCGGCGCAGCTCTGCTCCCAGTGCGTCTTGGTCCCCGCGACCAGGCAGGTCGCTTAGCCCCAGCGACCGGGATGCAGTCACCAGCCTGCCGAGTCCGCCGCCTCGCGTCCCCCGCGCTGCTGGCGCTCCTCGCGTGCTCCGCTGGTAAGTAGCGGGCGGCCCGGGTGCGCGCGGGCGAGGCTTGGGGCTTCTCGGGCGCAGCTGCCCGAGCCCGGATGAGCCCCGGGAGGGAGGTGCTGGGTGGCCCAGCCTTGCCCCGCTGGTTTCCGCGTCCCGCTGCCCCGTCCTCGCCGCGCCGCCTCTCAGCAGCGCCATCTCCCGGCGCCCAGGCGGGACCCGGGGCGTGCCCGCCCGGTGCCTTTCTGTCCCGGGTCCCCGCCGCCCCTGCCGGGCCCCAGACTCGCGTCTCCCCGCCTCCTTCCGCCTGGAACAGGCGGGCTGGCGGGCGGCCGAGCCGCCGGGGCGCAGCGCCCACCCCCACAGGAAGCCGAGGGGAGCTGTGCAACTGCGAGAAACTTTGAAAGAGGTTGGCTGCGGCCCCTCCCCCCGAGTCCCGCCGCTGTTCGCCAGTCCCGAGCCCTGAGCGTCCGCGCTGTGCCCTCGCTGAGCCCTCGCTGCGCCCGCGTGGGATGCCAGGCGGCAGCTGCCCCGCGCGCACTCCGCGACCCGGCGTCCCTCCCTCTGCGCGGCCTCGGACTTGCCCTGGCTCGCTAGGACGTGTGGCCAACTTGGCACCCTCCCTACTCTGATTCTGGGAGTGAGGACGGGGTGCCGGGCCGGGCCTCGGTGTGAGCGGGAGTGGTGTGGGGACACCATGGGGAAGCTTTCTGAAGTCTGGGATCTTCACTGGACAAATTAGAAAACCCGTCTGAAAACAATGCTCTCCGACTCTCCTGCTGTGGTAGAGGTTTTCTCAGAGCGCAGGAAAGGATAGCAGAGAATTCTGCAACATTTCTTAGCGGCTCCTCTGGGATTCCAAGATGTTGATTGTCACTGGGGTGTGGGCCCCCCATGCTGGGAGAGGTGACCTTGACTGGCATCAGCCAACTGATCCATAGGAGACAAGTCCTCCTGGTATGCCAGGGCAAGGACCCTAGGAGCATAAAGAAACCCTGGGCCCAGGAACCAGTGCAGGGAGCAACGCCCACAGGACAGGTGGGAACCTGGGTTCAAGAGGTAGACCTGCTCCTAAATGGCAGAAAGGGATCACTGCCCAGGTAGTGTTGATTGTGCAAGATGAAACTGCAACTCTAAGGTACTGGGCCGCGGGCTGAAGACATGTTTGAATTCGAGTAAATGGGGACCAAATGAGATGGGCAGAACCTGAAGCAAGTGGAGAGTCCTGATCCTTGGTTCCGAGGCGATCCTCATATGGCTTAGGGCAGCGCTAGATCGCCTCTACCGGCCTGCTCTAGCTGGGGAGTTTATGCTGACCTGCCAATGTTAAGAGGCATTCCCGCTAGGAAAACAGCTGGAAATGGACAGAGCAGTTGCTCGCCCCTTCCCCATTCCCTTTTTTGCTTGTGATTGTCATCTTTTGGGGGAGGAAATAGGTGATAAACAGAGTTAGGTCACCCCCCCCCCCTAGAGTGTATGGTAAAGAATTTAAAGGGGGGGGGTACTCTGGAGATTATGGAACTAAATTGACTCCCGGAGAACTTCAGACCTTCTGTGAAATAGATTGGCCTTCATTTGGAGTAAGTGGGCCCTCTGAGGGATCACTAGGTAAAGAGCTACATGAGCAGGTGCCCACATTAGTTTGAGATCAGAGAGAAGAAAAAGTGTCACTTTTAAATCCAAGCTGCTGTGGGACATAAATGGCGGTTTTATCTATTCTTGTGCTCTGGGATTCTGCCAAGTTCCTTCCTAATGCTAGAAAATAGGAGAGGCAAATGGAGGGGATCTGGAAAGGCCGGGTAGACCAGGTCCTGGACATTTTAAGGATGCTCAGGAGGTCTGCATTCTGCCTTGGAACAATTTAGGTGTTGCCCCAAGCCACAGAGATTAGCTCTGTAATTTTCTGCAAATGCCTGATAGGAGAGTCTGATGGGCCCAGGAATATCAGGGATGCTCTACCTCCTGAAGTGTTTTTCTCTTTGCTGCAGTTGGGCACAAGGTGGGATTGAGCCCTGACTCAGAAACACAAGACTATACGCAGGAGAGCGGGATGGGGAAAAGTGCAAGAAACCACCAGTTTGGTGGTGGTGGTGGAGGGTTGCACCTTTACATTAAAACAAAAACAAACAAAAAACTCTAGAGAAAGAGGGTGCTGGCAGGGGGAAAAACACTGAAATTCCCCCAGATAGCTCTCTGGGGCTAAAGTTAAAATATTAAAAAGAGTCCTAAGATACAAGGGAAAAGAAGCCATGAGATGATAGACACTGTTGTTTTATTTGGACTCAGGAAGCTATCCTAGAGCCTTCACTATTTCTGGCTCAAACTTTAGGCCTCCTCAAGGCCCAGACTCCCTGACTTCTGCCTCTGGAAATGATGCCAACAGTAGGGCAGAGGGGGGATCTGAGCCAGCTGCAGTGGCTCCCGCTTCTCCACTGCTCTGTCTCCTTTACTATCCAAGTTAAGGAAGGAGTTAAAACAATGCCAAAAGGATATTCAGATTTTATTTTCTGGGGAGGAGCTAGAAATGAATTGGAGAACAACAAAGGCAGTTTGGGAGTAATTATGGCCATATCATTTTTTCCTTCAAAACCTCTGTCTTGAGCTCATAGTTTCTGTGTTGCAATCACACTTGGTCCTGTGCATCTAAATTTATACTGTTTTGCTCCGATCAGTCTTGTTTTGTCCAACTTGAGTTTTTAGTCCTTTGTCTTTCCTTCTGTCTTTATTCAGAGATCAATTATTCAAGGAGAAGCTGTAAAATCTTTGTTTCCTGTTAGTTTTTATGTTTATTTCTGTGCATCTGTGTACTATATGTTGTGTCTGTATATAATATCTATCATGTACATGGTATCAAAATTGGTTTATAGATAAATGAGTACTCATAAATTTAGTAAATGGATCCAAATGTTTTTTAGTTCACATGACTTAAACATTTCAGAAAAAGTTCAATTTAAATTGGCTGAACAGGTAAGAATAAAGGTGTCTTTAAGATTACTAACCCACATGTTTTTCTAGGTGGTCAAGCAATCAATAGTGTTGCTTTCTACAAGATGTTTATAGTCTAATATCCATTGCTTCTAGAATTTTTCTTTAGCAGAAACTGATGGCATGTACCTGTAAACTACACTTGTCTGATAGCTTGGTTTTCATGAGTAACCTAAAGTTAACAATTAAAAATGAGTAAACTAGATTAAACATAAATGGGATTAGTTTTCATAAATGTGTTTGTTAGAGGAGACATTTGATCAATTTTCAAAATTAAAATACTAAAACATCAATTGCTAAATATTAATTCAGGTACTCTTCTTAAATTCCATAAGATAATATATACTTTAGTATTATATTGTTTTTATAGATTGGTAAATGAAAAAAAGGGGGAATTTCATATTGCTTTGTTTCTGCATCTTCACTAAAGCAAGGTTACTAAAGGATAAGATTCTAATACATGTAATTCTATGTGCAAAGAGTACAAAAGGTTTCAGCTGTGTTTAATTAAAGTACTGCAAAAAGCATATAAAGTATTTCATGCTATTAAAATGGAGTAATTTGTCTAAATTTAGAAATTTCATAAGGATTGTTCCAAAATGTAAATTTAAGAGTCAGCAACTAAAAAGATATAAAAGGTATGGAAATACATTTTAGTGTAAAAATGTTTCTGGAGGAAAAAATATTTCATGAGGTGAAATAAACAAGTCATAAAATGTCCAAGTAAGTTATGCAAGGATTTTGGAGATGAATCTCAAAAAAATTGTGTGTGGTTAAGTTGGCTGTTATGAACATGATCAGTTAATATATTTAAGGGTTTTTCTTGAGGTCAAATATTAATGTACTAACAGAAACCAGAATTTAATTCTGTATGTGTTAAAGTAATAAGGGTTTCTTAAAACATTGGTCTGGTCTTATCTAGCAGGATAATTTTTTGTGTCTTTTAGGTTCTATTATTTAGGAGAGATAGTCTTAGAGGAATTAGGGGTTGTACAAATCAAATTGAATATACAACTAATTTTTAGATTATTACACTACATTGAACATTCTATTTTTTTAAAACTTAAACTTGGTTAATCTGAGGACATCAATGTAATTGTGATTCTGTTACTAGCTTCTTTATATATCAGATATATTTATGTCCTCCAAGTATACAAGTCTTTTTTACAGCATTTTACTAAGCTGGTGTTCTCCAAAATAAAGTCTATAATAATAGTTTCTTTTAGGCTTATTTAAAAAATAACAAATTTAGTTATTTATTTATATCACTATTTTATATTCAGATAAAAATGACTATCATAATAATTATACATGTATATAATTTTCTGATACTCCTTACACTGGGATGGGAATTTAATGTATTTTTAGAAGATAATAAGGAGAGCCTGGTTTGTTTAATTGTTGACAGTATGAAACATAAGACATTTTGCCACTTTTCCCAAAAAGAAAGTTGGGAGCTCTCTAATTGCTTTTTTTTTTTTTTTTTTAAAAATTATTATTATTATTATTCATGTTCCTGATAAGATGATACATTGTGTTAATTGATATTCATATAATCTCAGGAAATAATATATAAAAACTTTATAAAATGACATCTAAGAAATAAAACACTTTCCTTGTCAAGAGGCCACCTCATCTGTGTTAAGACTCTGCCTCTTACCTTATAAGTGCATGTTAGAACAACTCCAAAGAGGGCTAAATTTAACTTTATTTAAAGTTAAGTTCAAAAGATAGATTTTTTTTTGTTAAGATTACTGTGATCTCAAAATAAATAAGGGATGTAATATATAACTAAGTAAAGGTTTGACATTATAAAAATTATGCTTCTTGGTTTATAGCTATTATACAAACTACATGTTTTTGTTCTTGTCAATTTCATTATGTATTTTCCTTGTAAACTTTATAACTGCTGTTAGTGGTTTACAGAAGTACATCTTTTAATATAACAATCTGAGTTATTTGAGACAAAAAGTTATCAGATAGGATATAAGGCTCACTTCCAGCACTAACACTAGCCCCTATTAAATAGAAATGTTAAGTAA